TTATTATGTAGGCAGAAATACTGCCACCTGACTGTATATTTGACTTACATACTTAATGCTGTTTTTTCACTTGTTTATTCTGAGATTATGCTTTTAAGTCTTTTCCAAAGATTCATTATTTTCATTATGCATCAAAAAAAAACCCCCTAAAAATAAAATGGCTATCTGCTATTTACTGTATTTATTTGTGATTATGAAAGAGATGTTTCAGGATTACAAAATTTAATTCTTTTAAGTTAAAAGAAGTTCAGAGGTTTGTATTCATGTTTGTTGTGGCTCCACTGACCTTTAACATCGCAAAATCAGCATGGATCAGCATAAGCAATCCTATTCGTTATTTATTTTCTCCATCATTTATGTAATTTATGTGATTGATATACAATGCCTCCCTTATTTCTGATATGATTATCCTAATCAAGAATATTGATTTGTTGCTTCAACTGACTGTGTAATTTGAAACACATGATTTCCTTTAATTTCCTTCAAGTTGTGGGGCTGTGCTCTGCCTACAATATAAGCAGTCTCAGCTATTTCTTTTTCCTACACAGAAAATCCCCATCTTAGTTCTGCTCCAGTTATATTGAGGTTCCTGCATCTGTACATAGTCCTGATCCACACAAATGAAGTGAAGCACTCCAGCACTTCAAGAACTTTTTGTCACAGAATCTCAAATCTGATTAGTATTATTATTCTTTTTTGAATGAACAGAAACTCAAGGTCATTTGAGATTTTTGTTTTCTTCTTGAATCCCAGCACTTGCCAACACAGGCGCCAGGAATCCTATAAGCAAAGGTTGCTGGAGTCTTCTGCTGAAGGCAGGTTGGCACCCCCTGCTCCTTTGAATAGAGCTATGCTGTATTATCTTGTAACTTGACAATGACATCTAGGAGCTTTTGTGAAGTTGGATCACAGAAACAGCAGGTTGCTGGACGCATTTACTCTTTCTGACAAACATACTGGAAAAAAGACTAATTCCACGCACTGCCAAGGACAGTGTGTATATAGAGGGAAGAGAATATCACTAGGAAAGAGAAAATGACCAGAAAATGCTTGCTTATCACTTGTAGTATCTCTTACTTAATGGAGACTGCTTCAGAGATGCTGCCCACATGTCGGGACAGGTCTGAAGGAGGACAGTCTATACTGCACCATTGATAGCTGTCTTACAGCATTTCTGTCTTTCAAATCTTTAACAGAGCTCCAACTCAGTCTTATACTAGGGACAAAAGAGAAAGATTGCATTTTAATTGAAAGCAGATTGCATTCTCTTCTCTCCCCCCATACTGGTGCAAAAATATTCTGGTTTTACAGAAAATGAAAACAAAGTCTCTATACAGTATTAGCTGTGGATTGTTACAAGACAGAATTTCATACCAAAAGTGGCTTTCCTTTTCAATCCTGTGGAAAAAACTGCAATTTGCAAGCAGAAAATAGTAATATGTTTATAATGATTTAGAATGCAATTCTTCACTGGCACTAAGGAGTTAACTGTGATGGGGGAACAAATTACGCAATCCCTGTAGAGTATTCACCAAAGGCAATGGAAAAAGTGCAGAAAGTTCTGGTCTCTACAGTTCTGTGAAATTCCTTTTTGGGAATAAATTGCCAGTTTGTAAGGAAAAAGAAAAAAAATCCTGTTTTCTTCTGCATATGACTTTTCCTTGTAACAAATCAGATTTTTTTTTTTCCCCAAATAAAAAAAAGGCAGTAACTGTCCATCAAGGAAATGTTGGAGATGCGATTGCAGCCCCTGCTGCTCAGAGTAGAGCTCCGCTGTATTATCATGACATCTAGGCTCAGGGGCAATGTCATCAATGTATACCTGAAGGGAGGGTGCAAAGGGGACAGAGTCAGTCTCTTCTTGTGGTGATTGGTTACAGGATCAGAGGTAATTGTCACAAACAGGAACACAAGAGATTCCATCTGAACATAAGAACCCTTCTTCTCCCAAAGGTGACTTCAGCACTGGAACAGGTTTTCGAGAGGAGTTGTAGCATCTCTCTCCTGGGAGATATTCAAAACCCAACTGGACATGGTTCTGGGCAAGTGACTGGCTTGATCAGGGATGTTGGATCAGATGACCTCCAGAGATCCCTTCCAGCCTCAAGTGTTCTGTTACTCTGATTCCGTGATTTTACAAACCAGCTCTCCCCAAAACCTGCCCATGAAAGCAATCTGTCCCAGCAGTGTCATCAGCAAAGTTCAGTGCCTAATTATTCCCTAAGCTGCAAGACAGACATAAATTGTGTGACTAACTGGAAGTATAAAATGTGGAGCTGGAGAAAGAAGGCTCAACTGATGTATTCCATGTCAGAAACAGGTAATGTGTGACACTGCATAATTTGCAGGATAGATGGCTGTACTTCAGATATTGTTGTTCCTCTGTTTGGGATCAATGGGCAGGTGACCTTTCCAGTTAATGGAGTGAACTTCCAGGACAGGATTCATCTCATGCTAAAATAAAGTCCTAGAAAGGTTCAGAAGGCACACATAGTGATTGTGAATTAGTGGCTATGAGCATGCTAATGGAAGTTTGAAGGCTTGAGATAATATTGAACTGGGATGAGTTGCAGACTGCTTATGAAATCCTTGCTATTTCCTCAGCGTACCACTGTTGCTTGTTTGTTTGTTTGTTTTTTCCCTAGGAATGTTTATTAAGAAGAATTAATAAACTAAGAAATTAAATAAAATAATTTAATAATGTTTTCTCAGGGAATACCAACATTTGCTTTGTTTATGGACAAAAGTTATTCTACTGGTTTTCATTGTGTTTCTTAAATGTGATGAAAAGTCCTTGTACACCTTGGTGCTACCTGAAAACTGATGCAGACTGGTAACCTACAGGAATTTGGAAAGTAATTGTTGTTATGTTTCCATAAATACAGGAAAATGTGATTAAAAAGTAGAGCAGTAAATCTTGTATTTGTCTGCTAAGTCAGGAAGCCTCATAATAAATTAGTCAGAAATGGTAAGGTATGCTTGCAGATCCTGACCTGTGGTACCACAAATAAGACAGGGGAAGATCTAAATCTCATCTCATCATCTAGGGTCAGTGTCTCCAGAGTGAACACATACTGGTATATTAGACACTCAGCTTAAGATCAGCAGAAAGTCTCTCTGGAGATGTTGAATCTCTGCCTCTGATAATGCAGGGAGTACTGAGGAATACACTGGTACTTAGACAAGTGGCAATTTCTATGGAAAGATTTCTATGGAAAAGGGTATGCCTTTTTTGATTTGGAAACCACCCTCAATGGTACTGTAATGCATGGGCTCTGAGGTTTGTAATGGATACTAGTAAAAAAAGGTATTCAGATTCTGTAAGGTATTAATTAAAATACCATTTTTTCAAGCGAATATGAAAAAGGAAAAGGGATAGTATAGATAGTCCTATGTCCCTTCAGATGCTAGGAACCCACAGTTGTGAAACATTGGATGGACTTCTAGCCAAGTCACAGCCTGTGGCACAGATCCTGTCTGTGGAGTAATTCCCTCGCATTATGGTATTTTGAGCTCTTACCAGATTTTCTTAAGAATTAAAAAATGCTATTTATGATTTCTACTGTCCAGCAAAAGGATGTCCACATGAGAACATGATGCATCACTTTAAGAAGAGGACAAGAACACAGCATCATCACTGCTGCCAAGTGGCAGCTGCATAAAGGCTGCTTCATTATGATATGCCAACTATTTGTCCTGTGGCCAAGTGATATGGGCAGTACAGGCAGCTGCCTGCCTAGGTCAGTTTTTATGTAGATCACTCACTCTTCAGCTTACAGTAGTGTTTGGGGTTTGTTAGCAAGCTTTTGGTAGCAGTAGCTTCTGTGAGAAGTTGCTAGAAGCTTTCCCTAGGTATGACAGAACCAATGCCAGCCGGCTCTAAGATGGACCCACTGCTGGCCAAGGCCAAGCCAATCACCAACGGTGACAGTGCCTCTGGGATAACGTGTTTAAGAAGGACAAAAAAAGGAGCAGCAGATTTTATGACCAGGGAGAGGAGTGAGAAGATGTAAGAAACTTTGCAGACACCAAGGTCAGTGCAGAAGGAGGCAGAGGAGGTGCTCCAGGCGCAGGAGGAGAGATTCCCCTGCAGCCCATGGAGTAGACCAGGGGGAAGCAGGCTGTCCACCTGCAGCCCATGCTTGATGGTGAGGAGCAGAGATTCCACCTGCAGCCTGTGAAGAACCCCACGTCAGAGCAGGTGGAGACACCTGAAGGAGGCTGTGACCCCGTGAGAAGCCCGTGCTGCAACAAACTCCTGGCAGGACCTGTGGACCCATGGAGAGATGAGCCCAGTTGGAGCAGGTTTGCTGGCAGGACTTGTGACCCTGTGGGGGACCCACGCTGGAGCAGTGTGGTCATGAAGGTCTGCACCTTGTGGAACAGACCCACGCTGGAGCAGTTCATGGAGAACTGCAGCCTGTGGGAAGGACTCATGTTGGAGAAGCTCATGGAGGACTCTCCTGTGAAAGGGACCCCACACTGGAGCAGGGGAAGAGTTTGAGGAGTCCTCCCCCTGAGGAGGAAGGAGCAGCAAAGACAACATGTGGCGAACTGACCACAACCCCCATTCCCATTCCCCGTCCCCCTGTGCTGCTCGGGGGAGTAGGTAGAAAATTTGGGAATAAAGTTAAGCCCTGGAAGAAGATGTGGGAGGAGTGTTTTAAGATTTGGCTTGATTCCTCATTGCTCTTCTCTGTTTTCTTGGTAATAAATTGGATTTTTTTTTTTCAAAGTTGAGTCTGTTTTACCTGTGATGGTAATTAGTGAATGATCTCTCCCTGTCCTTATCTCAACCCACGAGCCTCTCGTTACATTTTCTCTACCCTGTGCAGTTGAGAAGGGGGAGTGATAGAGCATCTTGGGTTGGCACCTGGCCTCCAGCCAGGGTCAACCCACCACCAGTAGTCTTCCAGTTAGGACCACCACATGTACCACCTGATTAGGCTTTCATTTCTGCTTCTTGGAATATTTTTAACATCTTCTTTTTGACTATTCAGAGATGAATCAGTCATCGGTGGTAGACTTCATTCTCTTGGGACTCACTATCAATCACTTTTGGGAGATCATTTTATTCGTCATTCTCTTTGTTGACTTCCTCCTGATCCTCCTTGGAAACATTGCTGTGTCACCATCACACTGATAGACCAATGATTTTACATCCTCATGTATTTCTTTCTCAGGAATTTCTCCCTTGTGGAAATGCGTTTCACATCTACGTTCATGCCAAAGACGCTCTACAGCTTCCTCACATAAGCAAAAACAATTTCCCTCTCTGTATGTTTCCTTCAGTTATCCCTCTCCTTCATCCTGAGTATCTGCACTTTCTTCTGCATAGCTCTCATGTCTTTTTATTGCTGTGGCCACCTGCCACCCATTGCATTACGCACCTTCACGAGCAATAGGTTTTGTCTCCAGCTAGTGCTGGGCTGCTAGATGGTGAGTTTCTTCTTGGTGTTCTCCCCACTGACAATTATACTGCATTTGACATTCTGCAGCCCTGATGTCACCAACCACTTCTACTGTGCTATAATGCCACTGCTCCAGCTGTCCTGCACAGACACAGGCCTTGCTCAGAAAGTAATGTTAGTGACAGGTGTTCTAATATTACCTGGCACCTTATCAGTAATCGTGTTTTCTTATGCCTATATCATCTACACTGTCACACACATCCAGTCTTCAGCAAGCAGGAAAAAAGCCTTTTCCACATGCTTTGCTCATCTCATTGTGGTCACTATTCTGTGCAGCAGCTCCATCTTCAGTTACATCCGACCAAGACAGCGGGGTAGGATGGATTTTGACAAAGTTGTATCTTTTCTCTACTGTGTGATTACTCAGCTGTGTAACCCTTACACCTACACCCTTCAAAATGAACAAGTCAAACAGGCCTTGAAAGATATGGTAACAAGAGGTTTTGTAGGCTTTGATGATATTTTGAAATCTAGAGCCACAAAGCAGGGAGTGCATGAGAATGACTTCCTAGCAGAGTTGCCAGTACCCTGGGGGTGGGAGGGTGGGGGACTGTGGTGGG